ACAGATAAAACTGTTATTCATTTATCCTTTTGTACCTTCCTGAAGTTCGGAGGATCGCGAACGAAAAAAAATTTCATATCAAAGTGAACGCCATATACGCATCCACATCTCAGCGCAGTCTCCCCTGTGAATGAGAGCCTCGGGAGTTAAAAAACATTATTCAGAGAAACTAAAATATTTTTCAACATTCCATCCTAACCTGAATTGCCTGAAATATTTTCGCTATATTCTGACAAGAACTTGACCTGGTGATGACTCCTAGCGTCCTCGGGCTCAAGAAATAAATAACTGTTAGGCCAATACTGGAAACTACTGTAAAACAAAAAATTTAGCGAAAATATTGTGTCTAAATATCCTATTTCTATTTAAGACAGACAAACATTATTTTGTTCAACTGAATTCAGTATCATGACTACCCAGCACACAGACAACATGGAAGTAGTTCTTCATTCCTTTACAGGTACTGAGTTTAAAGACAAAGTTGGTTCAGTTTTCAACGTGGCTGTTCTATTACATGTAAAGATTTGTATAAAACGAACAAGAGTGTTATTTATTTATCCTTTTGTACCTTCCTGAGGTTCAGAGGATCGCGTACGAAGAAAAAATCATATCAAACTGAACGCCATATACGCATCCACATCTCAGCGCAGTCTCCCCTGTAAATGAGATCCTCTGGAGTTAAAAAATATTATTTAGAGAAACTGAAATATTTTACAACATTCTATTCTAACCTGAATTGCCCGAAATATTTCCGCTATATTCTGAAAAGAACTGGACCTGGTGATGACTCCTAGCCTCCTCAGGCTCAAGAAATAAATAATAACTATTAAACAAATACTGGAAACTACTGTAAAACCAGGAATTTAGCGAAAATATTGTGTCCAAATATCCTATTTCTATTTAAGACAGACAAACATTATTTTGTTCAGCTGAATTCAGTATCATGACTACCCAGCACACAGACAACATGGAAGTAGTTCTTCATTCCTTTACAGGTACTGGGTTTAAAGACAAAGTTGGAGTCTCAAATGATATGAAATATGGGAGCGACTTGACAGTGGAACACAATCGATAATCATGTACAAGGAGACTGCAATGTCACTGATTACGCAACAATTCAATTTGTAATATTAAATGATTGATTTCGTTATGATTAATATTTCAAACGTTTAAACTGCTGCAGGAAGAACAAGACGATAGTTGGTTGTATCAATAACACTTCAGGCTGCCGATGTGCAATCACTGCGATGCATTTCGTAACCTGCGCCATAATCTCCCTTATTTTTTTATCATTACATTATTTTTATCATTATCATTGCATTACATTACTGTGTTCTCTGTGTTTTAGTATCAATTTTATTGGTCAAAAATCTGCTTGAGCTGGTCTGGTCACAAACCAAATTTCAAGAAGTTTCATTCAGGAAGTGAATTTTCATTCAGAAAGTTAACTCACATTCAGAAAGTTAACTTACATTCAGAAAGTGAACTTTCTTTTAGAACTCTTACTGGCTGTCGAAAAATGTTATTTTCAACTTCCTTTCTTCAAACACTTTTAATAAAAATAATAAAAGATATTTGGGTAAATTCTGTTTGGCGTAATGCTGCTGCTCTCTTGTTGCGTGGTTAGCAATAATGTTGGGAGTTTGTAGTTTCCAGCGCTGAATATCTAAACTATTTCTTCTAGCGCGCACGTCTGCCATAAGCGAACTACAATGATCCGGAATAGCAGACAAAAGCAGACAAAAAGCAGACAAAAAATAGCAAATAAAAAGCAGACAAAAAGTAGCAGACAAAATGCCGACAAAAAATAGCAGACAAAAGCAGACAAAAAGCAAATAGAAAAACAGACAAAAAAATAGCAGACGAAAAGCAGACAAAAAATAGCAGACAAAAAGCAGACAAAAAATTGCAGACAAAAGCAGACAAAAAGCAAAAAGAAAAACAGACAAAAAATAGCAGACAAAAGCAGACAAAAAGCAAAAAGAAAAACAGACAAAAAATAGCAGACAAAAGCAGACAAAAAATAGCAGACGAAAAGCAGACAAAAAATTGCAGATAAAAAATAGCAGACAAAAGCAGATAAAAAATAGCAGACGAAAAGAGGACAAAAAATTGCAGATAAAAAATAGCAGACAAAAGCAGACAAAAAACAGACAGAAAATAACAGACAAAAAGCAGAGAGGAAATAACAGACAAAAAGCAGACTAAAAATAGCAGATAAAACTAAATTCTACAGATAAACTACGCATAGTTGACATGATTGTCTTTAAATTAATATTTGTTGTCAATATTGAATTAATTGTAATTGGAGTAATTGTAATTGGAGTAATTGTAATTGGAGTAATTGTATTCGTATTTACCCTGAAAAGGCCACAAATCTTCCCTTTTCCTAATGATGCTCCGCAACTATTAACAAATTTTCCAATAAAAGTTATATATTTTCTGTTTGAAAGCTACTTCCATGCATTATTATTGTCCCGCTATTCACTGACAAAAAATTAAATTGTTCGATTGTCTTTTAATTACTTTGATAGTTCGTTCAATTAGTATTAAACGAAACTAACCTAAAATTTAACACTAACGGACATAATTCTCGACATTCTTGGAAAAAATGCAATTTTTTCGTGCCTGATTTCGAAATTTTTCTATTTTAATAGATTCCGTAGTCACTGCGTGGTAGAATAATTTTGATGATTGTTGATACTCATTAGGATATTAAAAAAGTACTAAAAGTGAATGCAACACGAGCATTCATGAACAAAAAATTCGTGTGGGAAAGACCTGAAGCCATGATTATAGAAAGAATGTTATCGGTGATGAAATAAAAACCAGAATTTTAATATTAAAATCATCGTTTTGATCATTACAAATTACATTACATTACAAATCATTACAAAATTACAAATCATTACAAATTAACAAGGAGAATAAAAAAACAGAAAACCAAAATTCAAGTAAATTACGTATAGCTATCCATAAAAACTTTCCGGAGACCAGCTCCATCGTCAGATCTAAGCTTCAAAAATGCCAATATAATAAACAAGATCAAATTTACATAGAGATGAATAAAACCTTCATAACCAGATAAACGGGATAAAAAACGTAAAAAGCCTATCGATTAAATATTTGAAGTAATATCGCAATGTTCAGCACGTGGGCGGACATCAGAATGGGGCGGATGGGCAAATAGAACTCTAGAACGGTAACTATTGTAAAGGTATTCGTCATCTGTGCACAACTGTATTCGTAAACAAGAGAGCACCGTGTGACTTATTAAAAGGCATGACCTCGTCATCTGTGATTCAAAAATTATATATATTTTTTAATCCATTCAACGCCAAGTAATGTCCGTAATATCCTAAATTTATATGAATTCAGTTGACTTCAACAATTCTACTCTTTTTCTTCCGGTCGCGTTACATCACTAATCAACATTTCAACATAAGCGCACAATGATTCTAAAATGTCTTATTCATATCGCATAATCATCAGTGCATGAAATTTTAGGTTCCTACGCTAATTATTTAATTAATGTATTTAGTTTAGTTGTCCCACTGCATAGAACAAGGCACAGAAGGAAAAGTTTTGATAGTTTATTCGAATGCAATTGGACGTATATATATCAAACAACTGGCTTATGCAATCAAGAACTCAGTTACCCCGAGGCAGAAATTAACATTTTGGATAGATTTGTACACATGATATATCACAGATATCGTTCATTGGTCCCAAAGAGCTGTTGCCTCTAGCATAAAGCTGCATAATATTACTTTCAAAATATAATTCACAGTAATTTCAAAAGCTTCATCTACAGTAATCGAAAAAAATTTTATTTAGCAGCAAAAAATTTTTAACTGGGCTAAAACAGTTATTCACAAATAACTTAATAACGCAAACGCTTAGCAAAACGTAAATACGTACACTTCATCCCAGTGAAACTGTCGACCGGCGGTAGAGAACACGGACCAATATCTGCCATACTTAGCGAGAAACCCGCTATGGGCCCGTGACCCGCAGTGGGCTCGCTGCCTCATGTTACCCTATCCATAAAAAACTTTCCGGAGACCAGCTCCATCGTCAGATCTAAGCTTCAAAAATGCCAATATAATTAACTATATCAAATTTACACAGAGATGAATAAAACCTACATAACCAGATAAACGGGCTAAAAAACGTAAAAAACCTATCGATTAAATATTTGAAGTAATATCGCAATGTTCAGCACGTGGGCGGACATCAGAATGGGGCGGATGGGCAAATAGAACTCTAAAACGGTAACTATTGTAAAGGTATTCGTCAACTGTGCACAACTGTACTCGTAAATAAGAGAGCGCCGCGGTGATGTAATATTAAAAGCATTAGTTCTTCATCTGCGATTCAAAATAATAAATTTTTATTCATTCAACGCCAAAGTATTGTCCGTAATAGCCTGAATTTGTATGAATTCAGTTGACTTCAACAATTCTACTATTTTTCTTCCGGTTGCGTAACATCACTAATCAATATTTCAACATATAGGCTCACAATGATTCTAAAATGTCGTATTGAAATTTCCGCTTCTCACGCTAATTATTTAACATGATGTATTTAGTTTAGTTGTCCCACTGCATAGAAGGAAACAACTGGCTTGTATAAGGAAACAACTGCATAGAAGGCCTATGAACAACTGGCTTATGCAATCAAGAACTCTGTTACCCCGAGACAGAAATTAACATTTTGGATAGATTTGTACACATGATATATCACAGATATCGTTCATTGGTCCCAAAGAGCTGTTGCCTCTAGCATAAAGCTGCAACCTATTTGGTTGAGTTTCGTTTGAAGCGAAGAATTATCGAGTTTCACGATCATCTGAAAATGTAAGAATATATGTCCGCACTTAATTCAAGTTGGCTAACCGCAAATGGACTACAAACTTGACTTGTAATGATGCGGAGTGGCTGCTGCTTGATGGAAACAGGGCGGCTTTTGTTCGGTTGTTGAAGAGTGGCGGTCGTATGTCATGCATCGGACGAGGCATCGTACCAGGAGCCATCGGACGAGGAATCGATCAAGAAATCGAGAGAGCCATCGCTGTCTTCCAGCAGACT